CTGAGACCAAAATATAGGTGAATACCAGCATCCTTGGCTGGTCTGGTGGTCTGAATTCTCTTTACTAACCAGTCAAGAGATCCTCACCGTGCAGTGAGTCCCAAAGTAAGTCCGCACAAATCAACATGTGTCTTTTATTTATATATTTATATATGCTTAGTTTGCTAATCTACAACTTGTTATTATTTATAAATTAAATGTATTTATGTAATTAACAAGCTCTTACAGGATGTGGATGTAATCATGTACTATGGGAAATAACATAGGGTTGTTGACAACTCAGCTGTTGGGGAATAGTCACTTGGGCCATTTTGTATCAGGCCTGATTTACAGGGCTTCTGTGTCATAGTAGCAAATTTTATTGCTTGCACAATGAGAGGTGTGAGTCCTGTGAGTGTTTATGTGCCTGGAACTCAGGAAATATCCTGGCTAGACCAAAAGGCAGTCTCCCTGCTTAATGCAAATTTATTCGTCTGCCCTTTTTTCTCCCCATTGTGTGTGTGCCTAGACTGCACATCTGGTCATATCATGACAGACTATGGAGATGAGAAACCCTTTGTTTTTTACACAAATGGAAGAAAAAAATCTGCTGCTGCTGGTGTGTCCTGTAGGAGTTGGTCTCAGGCTGAGGCTGCAAGTTTGCCCATGAAACAGCTTGGGAATCTGCTTTTGGGGAGCTGGAGTGGCACAGCCTCATTTAATCTTCCATTTCATGGTTGTAGACATGTTGGTAGTGTACACAGTACACTACAGTAGTGGCATTGTGCTTGGTAAGTTCCAGGTCTGCAGAACTAATGTTGCTGGAGGTGTAGATTGTCATCTTTGGGGAGGGAATCTGTCAAGAATGGCTTTGAAATCACCATTTCAGTGACAGTATACAGAGGGCTATTGTCTTGTGTGTGGCTCAGGGGACTTAGTCTCCCAAACTGCAATTTCTTACAATTTTCTTATGAGTTCTGGAAACGGACAGAGGTGAAAGGAATTGTTGGAAGTAAAGAGCATTGGCTTCCTGGAGCTTTTATGAAAGGCTCTTATCAGGTCCTTAGGGGCACAGTGGGAAGAAAATCTGGGGAGGTTTGAGAGTGTTGGGAGAAGAGGTGCAGGAAGCCCCGTTTTACTGTGAAGATGCACTGTTCGGCAGTGTTGTGAGTGAGGAACATGTGTATGGGCTTCTCTGTGGTCCCAGGGTTACTTTTCATGGAGCTTGTCTGAGCCTGTGTCATGCCTCAGATGTGAGGCAGAGGAGATGAAATGCGGAGATGCATCAGATTTTCTGTAAAACCGACCTTTATTGTCCTGTTTGGTTGAAGGGCTTTCCTAGCTTTTTAAGCTGCTCTTTTTCAGTAGCAAGGGTTAATTTACTTGGTGATTTATATTTTTTTTGTGAGGGGAATTGTTTTTCTGTTTGTGCATATGGGTTTTTGCTTCTAATGTTTCCCTGTAGAAATCATCTGCAGGACAGATGGCCTGCTAAGCTTCTGGGACTGTCTCTCACAAACACCTGTCTAAGGCCGCTGGGAATCAAAAAGAAATTCTCCTCTTTTAATGCCCTTAAAGAAAAACAGCACCTGATCCTAGTATGTCCTGCTTGCCTCTCTCTCTCCATCCACTCAGCTCCCTGGGAACCTTAACTGCTTGGTTGTGGCCATCTGTTGAGACAGCAAGGGGCTGGGTGCAGGCTGTGGGCTGAGGCTGGGAGGCGGCTGCCAGAGCCTTCGAGAAGAGCAAGGACAGCTTTGGGCTGATGGATTGCTGTGGTCGGCTGGGCTGAGAGGGAGGAGGATGATGGAGGAGGTAGACTTTTTTGTAAATAATACAGATGGCAGCCACTGAAGCAGCTCATTGTACCTTGCTGATTGTACCTTTCATCCCTTTGTATTTGCAGCCAAAACACGCCTCAGCAGTGAGGGATGGGCTACTTGAGAAGGCAGGGTAGCGAGGCTGGGCTTGCACTTGGTGGGGGGGGGGTGCATGCACATGGGGAATGAAAGGTGAAGTCTGTTTGTCCCCTGTGCTGGGAGCCCACTGAGCCAGTGCAGCGGGGCTACAGTGGGACCAGGTGTCCAGCTGGGCACCTGTGCGGTGTCCTGCGTGCTGTGCCCGTCACCATAGCTGTGCAGGGCACCTTACTGAGCACATTCAGCATGTCACAGGCTGCCCCGCCAGCTGCTGCGAGAGGCAAACGAGCATTTCTCCCCTGAGGTGGTGCCAGGGCTCGCATGGAGGGATTGCCACGCTGCTGCAGGTGGTGGTTGGCAGGCCAGCAGGAGTGTGGTTGCTGTGTTTAATTATAGCTCCTGTTTGAGAAACTAGTAGAGCAACAGAGCTTTTTTATCATGTTTTGGGGAAACTGAGCACTTTACAGGTTTTGATTGCTATATAACACATCCTGTGACACGGAAAGAAACTTTCCTGTGGTCCTTGCTGAAGGAAATTTGAAACCTATGGGCAATAAAATTCTGGAGGTGGGCCATACCTCTCACTGTGGCTTGGCCCTGATAGTGGTGATTCTTGGGACAGAATGCTTTTACAGCCACGGGGAGCTTGGGGGCATGAGTTGCCACACCCAGGGGCTGCAGAAGAGCAGTATGGAGGAGGGTGAGGTTCTGAGCCTGCTTGGGAGATGCAACCCTAAACTGGTCAGAGGAAACGTTGCATGGAAAGGGCTGAGCACACTTTGCATGTCCCTTTCTGCATGCAGTGATGACAGAGGAGGCAACATGAGTTAACTCTTTCCTCCCCAGCAGGCTGCAGAGACCTCATTGTTCCCTGCTGAGGGGTGATGCTGGCTGTATCCATTGCATTTGGGGATTGCCGGAGCTGCTGGAGGCACTGAGTGCTGCTGTCTTGTGATTGGTGGCTCTGTGGCTGTGGGCAGCTCAGCACCACTCACAAACAGCTTTGGAGGGCACCTGGCCATGGGGCATGTCCAGCCTGAAGGGTGAGCTTTAGATGTGCCTGAGGCTCTTGCGCATGTCAGGTGGTTTGGGTTTTGTCTGTGGGAGGTGATCTGGAGGCACCTGGTGAAGACATCTTTTGACCTAAGGATCTTGCTTTGCATTTTCAGTGTGAGATCTACTGCCTAGCTTTGTAGGTATTCCCTAAGGAGGACAGTGTTCCTGTTCCTGTTAGAGCTGCTTAAAGAAATAGCAGGGCTGTGGCAGAGTTGGGGATGAGCCTCTGCAAGAGATGTTCCTGCTGTTTTTGCAAAGAGCTGTCTTTGCTGAAAGGTCTAGTGTTTATATGGGAATAGAGTCCTTTGTACGTGGCTTGTTACAGGTGACAAATCTGAAGTATCCCTGTTGCTTGGGTGTACAGACTGTGCCGAATTGAGCAGGAGCAGCAGCTGCATTCTGCTGCTGTGATGACTGAGTGCTAATTGTTTTTACTGCCTGAGCATCAGGTTATTTTTGGCTTGATCAAGTTTCATTCCCAGCTGGCTGGTGGCAGAGAGGTCCTAATCATCTAAATCTCCACGCTTGACAGAAATCTAGGCAGGGAGCTGGTACATTCACCATGGGTTGGGGATGTGCAGTTGCAGAAATACAGCATGAATATACCTGTAACTTGGTAGTTACATGGGATAGGGGAAGTTCTGGCTCAGGGTCTGCTCCACCAAGGGCTTCCTGGGGAAACTTTTGTTAGGCCGTTTGGATAGGATGCACAAAGATGTTTTGTGGTTCTCAGGTGAAATGTTGGGTTAGACACAGGGGTTTTGCCTCATCCCTCAGTATTTCAGAGTCCTGAAGTGTCCGAAGTTCTTTACCAAGAGATTTTATGCATGTAAAAAGTGAGCAGACTGAACCTTCACATGTAGGGGCGAAAAAAGGAGTCTTAGATTCTATTCAATTAGGCAACAGCCTAATGATTGCAAGACATGAGGTACTTGGTAGGTGTGTGCATCCTGTCCTTAATCTTCTTGTTCCCACTGCCTCTTCTCTTTACCCTGCTCATGTGTTTGAGCCCAGGCTTTCTCACTGGCTCTGTGGCTGCGATGCTATGGGGTCCAGAGCAGCTGCTGTGGACCTGGTACTGTCCTCACCAGAAAACAGACGGAAACGCCACAACATGGAGAAACACCAGAAGAGCTGGACAAGTCCACTACAGCTGCTGGGCCCTTGAAAGAGAAATGCTGTGGACATCAGCCTGTCTGTGAGGGCCAGGTACAGCACAGCTGCCATGGTGGGTGCCCCTCTCATGTGCACATCCCCTTGTGCTGCTGCAGTGCTGGAGAACTCCCCTGGGCTCTGCCAGGGTGCTCCCAGGGGTACTCCAGTATTGTAAGGGACACTGCCAGAGCTTTTTACTTACTGTTGGTTCTCAGCCTGTGGCCCATGGAAGATACTTAGGCATGGCAAGTGCCCTGCTAAGCTATTACAAAGGACATACATCCTCTGCGCCTTCTTGGTTCATTCTGAGGCATAACAAATCAAAGTGGGCTCAAGATGTTGAGCCCAGATGTTGAGTCAATACGCTCAGGCGTATTGACTTGGGAAATCTAAAACAGGACAGCAAGAGTCCTTTCCCTGGCCTGAACATGGTAGAGCTGAACAAACTGTGTCCAGCTTAAATGTATAAACCTTTCACTCATTGTCCTGGCTTGACTCTGGTTCGTTGTCTCTTCCTCTGCTTGCAGATTCAAGTTCCCTCAAACCCCTGGAGCAAGAGGTTCTGTAATGTCACCTCTTTAAATCAAGCAGCACTTCTTTGTCAGGTAAAAGGCTGCACTGTGGATGGCAGTGCCACTGAAACAACATCCAGCTTAGCAGTAGGCAGCATCCCTGTCTTCAGGGCCCTGGGGAGCCATGTCCTCCAAGGCAGGAAGGATACAACCCATCTGCAGCTTGGCCTTGGCTTGCCAAGGCTGTAGGCAATCAGCTTCAGGTGCCTGCAGGAATGGGGTCTGGTTCCCCTCTCTCAGTGCCATGCACCCCCCGTGACGGGCACACAGCTCTGGCTGCTGCAGCACCGTTGTGTGTGCAGTTGAGTCTCCTGTCTCCCACACTGCAGAGCTCTCCTCTCCAGACACTGGGAGGGAAGCAGAGATGTTGGGGGAAGAGCTGTGGAGGTGGGGAGAGATTGAGCTATCATTAGCATGGGACTAGTGAGGTTTCTTTGCACCAAACCACTAAGCAGTAGCTATCAAAATTGAGTGCAGTATGCTGAACAGCTGAGCAAGGGAGCAGAGATTGAAAGGAGCCTGTGAAGAAAAGGGATTTAAGAGGAAAAAACCCTCTTTCAGCTGCACACGGGCACTGTCCAACACAAGAGAGCTGTGCCAGGGAGTAGGAATTGCCTGTTTATGGTGATTGATCTGCGCAGCCCCTGGGATGCTTGGAAAAAGGATTAAGGAGGAGAGAATTGCAGGAGAAGGAGGAGGTGGAGGTTTACCTTTGAAAACTCACAGGCTAATAGAATCCATCCTCTAAATTGTCAGTGTGTCAGGATACATTAATGTAAGTATAATGTTTTCAAATCCTCAGCATCTTCTATCTGAATGTCACTGAATTAGCACTGATGCATTCATTAGCTCATTATCCATTAATATGCAGTATTTTTTAGGCTGGCTCTATCTCTGGATAACGGGGTTAGAGATGTGGAACTGGCTGCGGGGCCATGCCATAGCTGTGCTTAGTGCTATGGGGGGGTGTGGTTTTATGTACCAGAATGGCCTTCAGTGATTGCTTTATTGGCATTTGTATCTGGCCTGTGTTGTCCCAGCTCTTAGCCAGTGGTTTACCACAAGTTAGTGGAAACTCTTAATGGGAGAGCAGTGCTAATGATGATGGGAATAAATTTCCAGCAACTCCTGCCCTGAAAGCAACTGTCAAGACAATTGATGAAGGCAAATTTTGATCTTTTGGCCTTGGGTCAGTTGCAAAACTGCCTCTGTAATCACAGAGCTGTTCAGTCTTCCTTGATGAGTCATGGAGTCCCCACTTCAACCCCTACCACCTTCCTTTGCTTCTTGCCCTCAGGAGAAATTCTCTATTCCTTTTTATCTTTCTCCCCCCCTTTCTCCCCCCCTTTCTCCCCCCCTTTCTCCCCCCCCTTTCTCCCCCTTTCTCCCCCCTTTTTCCCCCCCTTTCTCCCCCCTTCTCCCCCTTTCTCCCCCAACCTTTCTCCCCCCCTTCTCCCCCCTTTCTCCCCCCCTTTCTCCCCCCTTCTCCCCCCCTTTCTTACCCCCCTTTCTCCCCCCCTTTCTCCCCCCTTTTCTCCCCCCTTCTCCCCCCTTTCTCCCCCCTTTCTCCCCCGTCTTCTCTCTTTGCTTTGTTTTCTTTCTTCCCCCCCCATTCCACCTTCCCTTTCTCTACCATTTTTGACCATGAGGCCAGAGCAGGAGATGTGGGCAGCAGGCTTTCCCTGGCAAGAAACCAAGAAGTGCCAGGCTGGCATGGCCAGCATACTCAGCACCCCAACTCCTATCGAGACCAGCAAGCCTCAAGGTCTCTTATCCCTGAGGAGAGCCCGTAGGATGCTGCTGCTCAGGCCCTCTGCAGATTTTTCCCTCAGCTATCAAGTCTTCATGGAAGGACTTGGGTTTGCTGCACACCAAAGCACACAGGGGAGGGAGAGTGGCCAAATAGGTACCCAGCACTTTTACAGGGGTGTGAGAGTCCTCCTGACAACCTGGTATACCTGGGGCATCATGTGTCAGCCCTTCATTTGGAATTGTCTTCCTCATGTTCCCGAAGCTGCTTTGGGCTGTATGAGGGCTGTGGGATGGCCTCAGTGGTCCTGAGGCTCAGAGTGAGAGAGGAGCATTCACCAGAGGTGTGTTGCTTCAGCATTGGAATGGATAGCTTTGATCAGAAAATACTGGACTAGAAATATGACAGCAACATGTCTTTTCTGGTTTCAGCAGTTCTGGTGGGGAAACTGCTCAGCATTCAGCCTTGTGAGTCTGGGTCAGACAGGAGCAGGAAGAACTGCAAAAACTGTAGTAAAGGAAATTAAAAGGGTCAAGCTTTTCTTTTGGATGTATCACTCTGGCTTTGGGGTGAATTTTGTGTGCAGATTATCTAGATTTGAGTACAAACAATTCATTGTGACAGTTTGGGTCGGCAAATTCTAGACATGATAAATCTTTCAAACTTTTCTGCTGTCAGCTACCGTTTGAGCTTCCTGCCTTGTGCTCGAGGGTAGGCATGAATATACAGCTTCTGCCTTCCTCCTAAGCGGTTGTTTTCCATTGTCCTACTTCTGAAATATTTCTAGACCCTGCCTGCTGTACCTGGCTCTGTGCTGCCTTTCCAGGAACTGGGCTTAGTTATTCAGTGGAATCAGAGCGAGAAAACACATCCAAAAAAACCCCCCTGCAATCCAAAAGAAGCACTGAGTAGCTGAACTGTCTCACTGAAAAGCATTTTGCCTCTTGGTCTGCCAAAAGGGTCTAATTAAATCATGGGAGTCCTAGCAAGACCTCTTAACTTTGCCTTACGGAAAGAGTTATGTTGGGCACTTGCAGACATGACTGACCATTCTTGTCTGAACCACTACAGAGAAGGGTTTTCCTTTGAGAGGGAAATCCCTTGCAAGGCAGTGGGACAACATTTGCATGCACAATGCCAAAATAACTACCACCTCATTTCATTACTCCCTGAAGACTCATGAAATACTTAAGTATAAATCATCTCCTCCTGAGACAGCTGTGGGAAGGCTTTGCTGGGGCACGGGGTTGCTGGTGCTTGAGCCTGATGCTTGCTTGGGCTGGATTAGCTTTGCCTGGTGCCTGGGAGCATTTGTCTGTACGTCTCTGGGAGGGTGAAGCAGCAAATGGAAAAAGGGGTTTATTTTCAGCTGAACCAAGACGAAATGAAAATGAATTGGAAGAAAAGGCTTTCCAAACTGAGGGTTCCCAGAGTTTTATGATTGTGGGGTGATACAGAGTGATCTCATGGAACTCAACACCTCTACCTTTATACTGCCATACCAAGGCAGAAGTTATCTTTTCCATCAGTTTCTGTCAGTTGCCTTTGTCTTTACTTATCCCAGGCAATATTTGTAGTTTCTAGTTGCCATCGTCTTCTGTTTCCCAGAAAGCAACATATCTTCAAGGGAAGTCATGCCTCTGGCTTCTTGCTGTCCAGGGGCTGATGTTTTCATGCATGATGTTGCATGGGGACTGCAACATCTGAGGCAGGTGGGACACAAATAAATACCTGAGACTTGTTTGGGTTTTGGCCTGAAATGGCGGCTGAAGGGTGTGATGTATTGTATGGGAAAGGACAAAAGGCAAAGCATCACTTAATGACTTTAATTCCCCTAGTCTGAGAAGCATTTAATTCTCCTAATCTGAGAAACAGCAAAGAGGTACTGCTGGGTATTGCCTCATGCTGGGATAGACCAGATTATCGTTTGTAGGTCAAAAGCATTTATAACTAAATTCCCACACTAAAGCCATGCTTTTCTGATTTTTTCTTTCTCCCCATGGCAGATTCCAGTGATGGTAGGATCAGCCTGAGATGAGCTATCCGTAGGTGGGGCTGGGCCTTGTTCCCAGGGCTCCCTGCCCCATTGCAATGAGGAGCCATCTGCCAGCCTAACAGAAAGATTTTTGTGGTGGTGGTGTTTTTTTTTTTCTTTCAAACCTCGTGAAATTTCATGTGACGGCAGAGCCGCTTCCTGCCCCCTCCTTGTGCCACCTTGCAGCCAGGACTTGGTGGTGGAGGGCCACCACCATGGCGGCGAAGCAGCCCCCGCCGCTGATGAAGAAGCACAGCCAGACAGACCTGGTGAGCAGGCTGAAGACACGCAAGATCCTGGGGGTCGGCGGGGAGGATGACGACGGCGAGGTCCATCGCTCAAAGGTGAGGCCAGAGGAGAGGGAAACCTGCAGTAATGATGGAAAAGAGACCTTCTGCTGGGCAAAGTAAGGTGGTGTGGAGCTTTTTTAGCATCTAGTTTCTGCATCCACTTTGGCAAAAACAGGCTCCCAGCTCCATAAGTCTCCTCTAAAGGGAAAGATGAAGGTGGTGGTGGCACAAGCAATGCTGCCTTTGAGCAGCGATGGGCTGTGCAGCCTGCTGGGTGAACAGGAGCTGCCTGACATTGCTTTTTGTGATAATAGGGTGAGCTCTACCCTCAAGCTTCCTTAATTAATTCCTAACATTATATTGCTGAGACACCTATGAGCTAACTTGGAGCTGGTGCTATAAGACCATGGCACCACCAATGTCCACCAGCCAGTGGCCTGGACACTGGAGCAGCACTTTAAGCAGTGCCTCTCAAAGAGGCCTGAATTACAAACAAACAACCTGTTTAACTGATACACCAGAGCTGGAGGACAAGGATATGCCCCACAGGAGTCCCGTCCCCAGTGCTCTGTAGAGAACTTGCTGGCAGGGGATTGCCTGGTTCCCGCCTGGTTCCCTGCCTGAGGGCAGCACAGAGCTCTCTGCAACCGAAAGGTCCCCCAGTACCTTTCCCTGGTGGTGGTCTATGTAGTCTTCCCACCCACGTGGTTTGCCCATCCTCATGGTTTGGGGTAGTCACAGCCAGGCATTGCTCTGGGCAGCGTGGACATGAGAGCAGGACAGATGCTGTGACACCCCAAGGGCTCTGCTGGAGCCTGTGATGTGACACGCAGGTGGTGTGTGCGAGTAGTCACTTCCCTTCTTACATAGGTAAGAGGTGACGAGTTAATGTTGACCCTGCCCCAGCCCCATGCTGCAGGTGATAGATCCCAGTAAGGAAGCAGTAGAGGCTGCAGCTCCTGGTGGAAATCAAGGTAACCTTTGGCAGGTATTGGGACCAAGGGGTCACAGATGAATCCCTTGTCCTCCTCCTCCTTCCAACCCTCTTAGAGATAAACTCCCACATGGACTTGGGTATGTGGTTTTGGGCTACAAATACTGCCTAAAGACGGGAAGGATCTGCTTAGTGACTTTGTGCCTTTCATTTGAATTTCAGATTAGCCAAGTACTGGGAAATGAAATAAAATTTGCTGTTCGGGAACCACTGGGGCTCAGGTAAGATATTGGATCACTTTGAAGCTGGGTCATCTGAGGGCCCTTTGTCACAGCATCCCTGGCAGCTCTGGCTTCTGACACCTGTTCTGCTGCTATGCCAGCATCACTGCTCCCTGCAGGAGCTTCTTGGAGGCTGTAGGATCAGACCAGTTCTGCCTTCTTCCCCCATAAATCAGCCTGAGGCCTGCAAGTTCTTGTCTCACAGCATGTACTGGCAGCTACAAGGACTCTGTGGGGCTGGAGGAGTTTCTGGTCTCCTATGTGACAGGTGTGTCCTGTGGGGACCCTGCTCTGCACCATCCTCTTGGCAGGGTTACTTCCCTCCTTTGCTTGGGTGAAGGGGAGTTTGGCTCTGTCTCAGCAAAGCTCGTGTGCATGCTGAGGCTGGAGCTAGTGGGATGTGGAAAGCTGAGTCCTACCATGGGAGGCTTCAGGCTGTCTCAGTTGTGCAAGGGGAATGGATTAAGGCTGATGAAGGGGCAGGAAGACAGAAATGCTTTGTGAAGTATGAGTGATGGGATCACCTCTGAGCTCACGCTGGGTCCTCTATCTTCCCTCTCATACAGGGTCTGGCAGCTGGTTTCCGCCGTCATGTTTTCTGGGGTCGCCATCATGGTGAGTGAGGGATGTGGTCCTGGGTACTGCTAGCTCCTGACTACCAAAGGGTGCCCCAGCATGGCTCTTTGACCCCTGGCATTTATCTTCTTCCTCTGCCTTTAGCAGCTACCGTTTTTCCCTGTGAGGCCTTTGCCCTCACTGTCTCAGTAATGGGCTTTGCCAGCAGTGTCCTTGGCAGTTTGTTCCCATCACCAGAGTTTGCTTTCATAGTCAGGGTCATAAAGCACACATGGCATGGCAGCCTAGGCCATAGAAACCAGCCATGCAGCCCATAGCTGACACGATGATATTTCTTGCACCTCCTTAATTTCCAGTTTCCTGGCTAGTGGCTCCAATCCCAGGAAGGTATGATGTTGGAGCACTGCTACTTAAGAGGACACATTTTGGTGGCCCTGGTGAGTGCAAGCTGCTGAGTCTCTCTCTTGCCTCTGCCAGGCCCTCGCTTTCCCAGACCAGCTCTTTAATGCCATCTTCGAGGAGGAATCGGTGAGCAGCAAGACTCCCATCCGGCTCTATGGAGGAGCCCTCCTCAGTGAGTGCTGTGCCACTGTACTGGGACACATGGCTGCCGTAGAGTAAGGGGACAGGAGGCCAAAAGGGCAGGAGGGGACAAAGTCCATCCCCAGCCAGCCAGCGAGCTGTAGCTGGAGAGCAGAATATCTGCTGTTAGCAAAGAAATTGTTGAGGTGTATTTTGAAAAGCTTGGCCACTGCTGCTTTTTCCTAGCACAGAGTCAGGCTTGCTGCACGTAGGAGAAAAAGGTCTGTGCATTCTCTGAATACCTAGGAAAGCACCCCAAGTACCCAGCAAAAGGAGCCTGCAGCTGGGCGAGGCGAGGGGTGCTGGGCTGTGGCTGGGGCAAGGTGCACCCGTGGGAGTGGGAGGGGAGGTGGGGCAGGCGGCAGCATCCCAGGAGGGAACCAGGAGGTGGGAGGCAAAGGACAAGAAGGTGAGGTGAGCTTGGAGAAATGGTTTGGGAAGGAAAACCGCCGTCCTGCAGCGGCACCGCGCGGGGCTGCCGAGAAGCGCCGCGCGGCGGGCGGGGCGTGTGCGCCGGGCAGTGGGAGGGCGGGCGCGGGGCCCCTTCTCGCTGCCGCCCCGGCCCTCGGGCAGCGCGCTACGCTGTCCCTCGCAGGCATCGCGCTCATCCTGTGGAACGCCCTGTACACTGCCGAGAAGGCCATCATCCGCTGGAGCCTGCTGGCCGAGGCATGCTACTTCGCCGTGCAGTTCCTGGGTGAGTGCCCGCGGGCTCCGGCAGGAACGAGGAGGAGGATGCGAAGGCTGCGTGCCCGCATTCCCGGCGGGGAACGGTGCTCAGCGGTGGGCAGGGCAGCGGTGTGAGCAGTATTGGAGCATCTTCCCAGCTAGCTGCTCTCCCTTTTCTTCCGACATGGAGTAGCCTCTGCTCTGGGTTGCTCACTGAAGGGTGAAACACTGCCCTTTGACAATTCATTTATTTTTCTTCCTGAAAACGTCCTGGCCTTCACAGCCAGCACTCATCTTTGGTTGAGCGCAGGCTACCTACATGCAGGGTCTGACAAGAAAAGACTGTAGCAAGCTACGCTAAAAAGGGGGATGTTCAGTCATACCAAAGCAGAGAATAACAGTTTAGCTTGTTTCTAGGGAGCTTATCTATATTTAACAAAGAAGGGGGTTCTTATGTGTGTGTATTGGTAACTCATGAACTGTGATGCTGATTTAGATATGGGCTATGTGTTGGTAGCCAAAAAAGAGACATGTTCGATTGAGGCAGTATGTGTGGACTGTGCATGTTTTGTAGATGCTCCTAAAGTTGAGAAATGTTTATCAGCACTGAAGTGTTCAAGCCACAAAGCAAACTCAGGAAGATGTGGCTCCACATTTAACACCTGAGCATGATGGAAACTCGCATCTGCTCAAGTGACCATTTCAGGCTGTGGCTGCCTGAATGTGGGGCTGCCTTTAAAGGAGGGTTTCTGTAAGAGCTCTGGAGTTTGTGACTGGTTGCAAGGCTGTAAAATCAAGCAAGTGAAGAGCCTCCAGCATGGATTCACTGTGCATGCAAGTAAGCCTGTGCTGAAAGCTCCTGCGCTTACAAGGCTCAGCAGCTCTTGCCAAGACACTGCGTTAGAGGGCAGCAGAAAACAGCTTTGTGCTATTTGTTCGTTTGTGGTTTTGTATCACCATCCTCTGCCTTGTCTCTTTCCTTCTTCTCCAGTTACCACTGTCTCCCTTGCTGAGAGTAGCCGGATAGCCACGGGTGCCGTGCTCCTCCTGGTCAGCCGAGCCCTCTTCATTATCATCAGCATTTATTATTATTACCAAGTTGGACGTCGTCCCAAGAAAGTCTAATTCCTGGGCTTTTTTGTTATGGGAAGGGTGGGAGGGGGGAGTTTGTGTCGGTAATTTTGCATTATAATTATAACTTTTTTTTTTAGTTTTTAATTAGTCTCTTTTGGTTCTAAAGTAGTTTCCTTCTTTACCGGCATGAATCAGTGTGCAACCCGGTGCTGGTAGCACTGCCAGCTGAAATGGGGGGGAGCAGCATCAGGTGGGACCCCCCAGCCTCTCTGCAGGAGGTGAGGAGTAGCAGGAGGAAGGCTCAGGGAAGTGTGTAGGCCTGGCAGGCTCAGGGAAAAAAAGGCCAGTTTTCTGGGAGGAACTGGCCAATTGGATCACAGGCTCTGAACTCGATGGAACAAAGCACAAAATAAGGCCAGCATATTGAAACCAAATCCCTGAGGAGACAGGGCAGTAAGACAACCAATGAAGGACTCAGCTACTCTACTTGGTAAGCCTTGCACCTGCCTGATGGAGTGTATGCCCACGTGTACAGCCTGTTCCCCTTTTAGCAAGTACTGACTGTCTGGGTAGCTGGGGGCTGGATGGGGTCAAACTCAGTGCTTTACAAACAGCTCTTCTTTCCTTGCTGCCAGAGGTGCATTTTTGTGTAGTTTATAGTTTTGCACCAGGTGCTGTGCAGAGCTTGGCAGGAGATATACCAAAAGAAGAGGGAGAACCCTTGCGTGTTCCCACTAAAGGGACAACACTGGGAACAGTGGAGCAGCTTGAACTACAAGATGGGAGAAGTGAAGGAAGCTATTGGAAATAGCCCATTGAGCACAAAGACATCCCCTTGTTTGTGTTTCATGAAGTTTGTAGGCTGGGGTCCTATCCCCTTCACCCTGAAACAGTTCCTGCAGTTGCAGCTTTACTGATGGTAGTAGCAGAGGTGGGTGTGAGGTCACATCTAATGTTTTAGTTAAGCAGGGGCTGGAATGCCATTGAGGCTAGCACTAGTAAGAGCAGAGCAAGCATCAGTCCAGATGCTTGGGTCAGGGAGCAACCTCTAGAGATGGCTGTGGGAGATGGTGTTCCAACTCTGCTGATATGCAGGTATCACATCTCTTCTGACCTGGAGAAGAGAGGACCAAAGTTTGTAGCATTAAGATATTTAACTGGGATGAAGAACAGCAAGGAGTGGAGCATATGAAGGCATCATTGCCTTTTCTGGTTCTGTCAAGGCCGGATTTTAGTACTTCAGTGCTCACCGGGCAGTTTCTTCAACACCTCCTGGGCTTTAACAGCGTTGGCTGCCCTACTTCCTAGCGCTTTCCTTGTGGGTTATGCTTGTCCACAATGAGAGGTGGCAGTTTATTCTCTGTGGGACTAAAGCCAGAAGGTCTGTGTACAGGATATGGACTTCTTACTCATGCACTACTGTTGACTGGATCAGAGCATGCCCTGTAATAGAGCTGATGTTCCAAAATCCCAGTAGAAAGATGCCTACGCAAACAGAACTGCTTGTGTGAACAACAACCCTCAAGCTACTGGTGAGACTGGGATCTATGGCTATTGCTATTTAATATCTTAGTAGAGTTAGAAGAAGGTAGTGGGTAGTAAATTGTATGTTGTGTTAGTGCTTTTGGCATTTAGAAGCAGCTACATAAGCTTGGGACACTGTGTGCATTGTACTTACTGGCCATGCAAAATGCCTATCAGGTAAGAATATTGGAAACATCACAACTATAACTTAGTTTCTTACCTAAGAAGTAGATCAAGTGGAGAGGCAACATCCAACAGCAGGCTAAATTCTGGAGCCTCCCAAGAACACACACTTGTCAAGCTGCTTTCAGCATGTCAAAAAATTATACTGAGCAACTAAAACTTTTAATTAAGAGGAGTGTTCCTGTTCAGGTGGAAGAATTGGGCTCTCAGAGGGAAACCTTTACCTGTGAGGCAGGTAATGATCAAATGCAGCCTGGAGAGTATCAGAAATTAGACCAAGTGGTGCTATGTACAGGAGCAGGAGCATGGCAAGCTGTGGCTGTTGCTCTCACCCTGTGCATCACCTGCATGGGCAGCTGCAATGGCCTCAGTGTGGCACTTTGGCTGTAGTTGTTGGTATAGGTACGTGAAGCTTGATTCTTTGTGTTTTGGGGCGTCACATGAATGTATACACAGATTGATGGTTGGTTTTGGGGGGGGGAAATTATGTTTCTGGGACAGACAAGTAAAACCACAGCAAAAGCAATCTTGCAGAAGAAGGAAATGGAGGGTCTTCTTAATGCTGCCTCCCATCTGTGTTGGCCACAGGTCCTATGAACTTAGTTAGGACTCTGGTTTGATTAGTGTATCTTAAAATATCATCCCGTAAGTGACAGAAATGAGTTAGTGTGTTCTGTGAGAGAAGTTCTCCAAAGACTTCTTGATGGTTAAATCAGGTGTGGGAGGGTGGGGGAAGCAGTTACAGCTTTCCAGAGTAGCTTTAAATTAGGTGAGATCAGATTCCTCTGGTCCCCTGTTAGTAGCTGCCTCTGCAAAACTTGAAATAATCAGCCACTTCTAGGTTTGCCAGTTAACTGGGGGAGTAGCCACTTAAAAGATTTCATACTACTTGGTACCTAGTCCTTAAAGTGGAGAGATGAAAGAAGTTGTTTTATTTTGATGCTTCTTGCTCCATCTTGCTATCAAGGGACCATGTAGAAATCATGGAAATGGACTGGGGCTTTACACCTCTTCTACAACTAAGTTATGGTCCCTGGCACATCCCTTCTCATCAGCAAAGTGTGGCAGGAGAAACATGACCAGGCCCGTTGGAGGTGGTGAATGGGTAGCAGGGGAGGTCTAAGAGGGTGTTTCTCAGGGTGGCTTGAGGATGAAGCCCAGGCAGAGCATCTGCAGCACTGCCAGAAACCCACTGAACCTGGTTGTCTTCACTCTTTTATGAATGAGGGAGAAGGAAGGAGGATGCCAAAAAATTTTGTACAGAATAGTGTCCCTAATAACAGAAGTGCTGGCATCATAGCTAAGCATGGCAGTTGAGCACATAATTTGGGATCAAAAGCCTGAGGCATCACCTCAGGCTCTGCTACTGATCTGAGAAAAAAAACTGTCTCCACAGGCCTCAGTTTCCTTATCTGTTTATACTGTGAGAGAGGCCTTGGACTGGTGTCATTCCCAAGGGAGACTGCAGTGAAGTACCTGTATTTGTACAATGCTGTGCAGGGCTGGGAGCCTGTTCTCCAGAGGGTTGTGCTCCAAGCAGGCACAGGCCAGGACTTAAGGCTGACCCCCTTTCTCTGCCAGGGATGAACCCAAACCCTTGCATTCGCAGAACCCTCACTTTGGAGGGTGAAGAAAGCTCATCACTCACATAACTCCCTACATCACCGTATTTATGCCTAACCGGTATCTGGCAAACTGGAGCTGGTGACAAAGGAGAGGCTCTGTCTGTCCTAATCTGGCCTCTCCTTTCTGATCAAGGGTTTTTACTTGGGGGGGTGGGGGCGGAGGGGTGGTGCAGGGGAGAATGGGACACTTCAATTTATACCTCATTTTAGCTGCTGTACTTGAGTTTATTTCTCCTATGGTAAGAAAGTGACTGTACTGAACACCAAGCAAATAGTGAAAATTAAAGCTGTTTCACTTCACTGTCACAATATCTTTTATTTTGTTTTGGTTTTTTTGGTTTATTTTTGTTTGTTTGTTTGTTTGTTTGTTTTTTAAGAAATGCACACGAAAAACCATGCACAGAGTGCTTCAGGCTTGTGTTCTGGTTTATATTACCAAAAAAAAAATTCCTTTCCATATAAAAAAGCATTACAGTAGGGAATACAGGATAAATTAGCTCCACTATCTAATAAAAAGTACATTTACAGTTTTTTAAAATAGATTTCAAACATTATTTCACACGCCAGCCCTTTTCCCAGGCATTTGTGACAGTCGTTTGAGCATTAAATAACAGCCAGGAGGCAGGGATGCTGAGAGGGGCTGTGGGCTCACAAGCACAGGCTCCTCTCTACTCCATCCAAGGTGCTTGGGCCATGGTCACAGTGCTACAGCAAAGGAGGCAGCAGCACAGCAGCTCTACCTGGTCTCCAGCCTGCCCAGAGCTCTCCAGCGAGCAGTGACTCTACCTTTAGCCCCTGACCCCAGACTATTCACCAGAGCTGTTAAAAACACATATAAAAATACAATTGCTTTTCCTGCCTACAGTTCTGAAAACTACTGTACAACAGAGGGGGCAGCCACATAACCAAGGGACAAAACCAACAAATTTACACACTTTGCCATACAGTGGGAGTCTGCTTTCTAGGGTTGCTAGTTCATTAAATTCCCCTGAAGGAAATTCTTTTTGCATGTTACCAACTACCACTGTCAGACTTGCACATATTGATGCTGCCTGGCCTTTGCTGGGGTTTTGAGCTATGTTTCAAGTGGCATGCGAGCCAGCCTACAGAGAGGATTTGAAGTCTTCACCTAGCAAAGAGCATCGAGGGATCAGACAAGGTAAGAGAGGAGAAACAGCTGTGCACAGCCCAGAACAACAGGTGAAGAGGAGATCCTTCTGAAGATTGAGGGACTACCATTTGGGAGAGAGGGAAAGTGAGAAAGCTAAAAACAGACAAAGCACTGAGTAAAGAATTAGGAAAGCCAAAGAGAAACAAGCCAGCAGAGATCCTATTTCAGGTGTGTATATTCAGTACTTAGTGCTCTGACTGCTTTGGTCTGGTTCCCCCAGCTCTGACGGTTTTTCCTCCCTCCCATGCCACTGTTGGCAGAAAAAGGCTTAAAGGCTTTTTTTTTTTCCTTTCAACCACCCACCGTGCGCAAATTAGAGTATTTGCCTTCCAGGCTCCGACCTGAGGACTCTGCATAATAAACCAAGGGGAAAGAAAAAAACTGGAGACTGGAGGAGGCAGTTCCACTTCTCTCAATAACCTCCAGCCAAATTACTGTCTCTTCTGACAGTTTTGTTCTTTCCCTGGGATTTGCTCTCCCAGAACAGTAACTGACACCAACTCCTAAGGCAGAAGAAGAGATAAGCTCACCTTCTGCTCGGCCCATTTCCTACGAGACTAGTAGATGCAGCAGATATTTCTTAAGTGCAGCACCTGCTGTCCAGTACAAATACTGCTGGGTTTTGGCTAACCAAACTGTTTTCCTTTATTAAACAACAGACCAGAATTTAATGCTACAATGCCTCATTACAAAAAGGTCCAGAGGGAAATAGTTCAGAACAGCTTTCCACAAGGTTTAATTCAACATCTGGGGCTGCTCAGCAGCCCTGGCCGCCTGTTTCATTGCTGAATATGCTGACTGCAGCATGGGGGGGCTGCAGCTCTACCTGCCCAGCCCTATCCTCCTGATGAATAAAGTGTTGTTCTCAAATGAAGAGAAAATGGAAAAACTTCTAACACCTCCTTCCTGCTCCTTAGTATCTTGATTCCCCAACTTGGATATTTAGCTAGGATCTTTGTCAGTTATGGCCTAGGCTTTCTGCTGCTTTTTCTCCCTTGCCTGTAGTCTGTGCAGTGCCACTGGGAGAGCTCAAGGGACACAGCCCCAGGGGTATAAGGGAACAGCCAGAGGATGTACCTCCTGCAGCTGCAAAGCCAGGACATGAGATTACTGTTCAGCTCCTTCCTTGCCAGAGGTTACAGCTTTCAGAAGAGCTGATTTGAGCCTGTATAAGTGTGCTCACATAATCTGAGCCTATAAAATCTGTAAAAAGACCTAAGCTAAATGAGAAACCACAGCCCTTTCTATCCTCCCCCAGGTAAATGAGTTTGGGGTCAGAGGGTGACCAGATGAACAATTAAGGCAACAGCAGTTGATGATTCCAGAGAAGAGAAACCAGCGACCTGCCTGAGTTGATATCCATGACCACTGGAACAGCAGCTGGAGCAGTTTGTCTGCACACTGGGTGCTCTTAGAGCCTGCCTGGGGCCTCAGAAGCTCCAGCTTAATCTCTGACTAAGGTCCAGTCCCAGGCATCTTTCTCAAGTTCACTTCCAAATGATTGAGTAGATGACATGTTAGTTAAATAAAAAACTATCTCAAGGGAGGAAACACTCTCAACTAAAACAATTCTGACTTGATGATTACTTTCATCATGAGCCCATGAGAGAATCTCAGGGGAAATTCTCTGAGCAGAAATGATGCCAACAGACTGTTCCAGGCAAACAGCATGCTTGACAAACCTAAGCCTCTTCCATCCAGCACCATGACTGGACCTCCTCTTAGGGCTGGAAAGGATGTAGGAACCACTGCAAATAGTTATGCTAACAGAGCACCATAAACCATTTTTTTGCAAGTATCAAGGGAAAGGCAAAGGCTTACCAGATTTAAAGATTCTATCCTCCCCTTCTCAGGAGGGCAGCAGGTCAGTGATTCTTGAACGGACCATTATTTTTCCCAGGGGATGGGAACACAGCAGGGAACCATTTGGTCTCTTTCACAACAATGAACAATAAATCTTAGTAAAAACAGAAAGGTAGGCACCAAACTCTTGACCCTCAGCCAGCCTTAGCTGAGTCCCATTGCCAAGTTAGATCATGCTGCCCCTGCTTGGAGCTCTGGAGAAAAGCCAGCCTCACTGAAGTGCTAGACTTCTCAGACAAGTTTCACGTGACAAGGGCAAAGCTTCCACTGAAGAATCTGTGTTTTCATTCTGTGGCTGGAAATTAAACCCAGAATCACGCAAACAATGACTACCTACTTAGATGAGCCATCACCACTTGTTTCAAACCCACCTGGATAATCAAGGCTAACCTGTTGCCTTATCCAGTCCCTTGTGTGTCTATTCTTCAGTCCTTTGCTGTCTAAAGCACGATGAAGTCGTGCATGGTAGGCTCAGCCTTGTGGAAGAGGCAGCTGTGCTCATCCTCCCACGCCCCCTCCACTGGCTCCATCAGTCTCTAGTGCAATCAGCTGTGCTGGGCTCCTGCTCCACGGCTGCTGCGGGTGGCTCTGGGCAAGGGTCCGGTGTACAGTGTAGTGCACATCACCTCAAAGTTCCAGCCCCTGAAGTACAATCCTTTTGGTCATTCATATATTACAACCCCCTTTTTTCCTTTTTTTTTTTTCCCCTCCCTATCCCATTTTAAAAAAAATAAAGTTTTTTGGGTGTTTTCAGATTTTGTTTCTTCTGATTTTCCTTCTTTTTTCTGAATATGTGGGGAACATGGTGGTCCATGGGCCATTTCTTATTGGATCCCTCGAAAGAGACACATAGCAAAAATCATGGCGAACAGCTGGGAAGAGGTGGGGAAGAAGAGGGCAAAACCAAAACAGAGTCAGCTGAATCTTCCATAAAATCAGCAAAGCCCCCCCCCCCCAGCCCTGGGACCACCCCCATTGCTCCCTCCTGACCAGCAGTCAGTGATGCAGTGAGGGGGACCCTTCTTACCACTCAGGGGAGGCTGTGGCAAAACTTTTTTTCCTAAAGGTGATCCCTCCCTTCTTTCCGCTGCTCCCCACACCTCCCCATGCCACGCCCACTCCTTTCCCCTGCCCCGCCCTGTTCAAACTGTTAGTGGCTACGGCAGCAGCCTTGTTTTATTCCCAAACTGCCCTTGGTGTCACAGCAGAGCAGGTTCCACAATCCCCCCTCTGTACATCATTGCCACTGCCTGGGATGGGCACAGCACAGACTTTGCGGGAGGCTGCTCGGGCTCTCTGCCCAGGTCCCTCTCCTTTGCACAAGACAGGGGACTGCAAAAGCACCCAGCCTTGCCCCTGCAATGCCACAGGGACATCACTTCTGGGCTAATACCATGTCTGGTGGAAGCCTGTTGCTCAGAAATATCACCAAAGAGCCAGGTAGTAACGCAGGACAGTGGCTCTGTGGCCAATAGAGTTTCAGGCTCTAAACAGAAGCTTTTAAAGCAAAGGCAGAGTTTGAACCTGTTAACCAAGTGACAGATCAGTCAGCTTTGGGGTGCTGCTGCAATGAGGGCAGTGACAGTGGGGCCTGGAGCAAGCGTTGGGTTCCCAAAGCCCCTGTGGCCAGCATGGCAGGGATGAGCTCTGTGGCTGGCCTAGCACAAGGTGGCACTCCAAGCGTGTGGCACCGGTTATTTCCTTGCCTTTTTGTGTCAAAGGATCAAGCACCCATCTCTTTCCAGGCAATTAAACCCACAAGTTGATGACCTCCACTTTGCCAGAGTACCTTCCCCTGGCAAGGGGAGCACCTGCCTGTCTGCCTCACTGCTGGACATCTACTGACACTGCTTTCCTTATTGTCAAACAACAGTAAGTACCTCAATAGCCAACACTCCGATAGCAAGGGCTCCTGCAAGGTACACGTAGGTCTCAAAGGAGTTCAGGATCACAGTGTAGCAGCCCTAGGAAAGACAAAACATGATGAGACACACCTGAGCAGTACATTGCATTGTTCTTACAACATAGCCCTCATTAGAACATGAGATGCTCTCAGACCCAGGCACCCAGGCACCACAAGCATGGCTCCCTCTCACCACCTCACCCAGCCCCAAAGCACAGGAGGCAGAGACCCACAGGACAGTGCTGGGGAGGGGCAGGTTTTGCTGTAGTGTGATGGGGGTGTTTTACACCCACAGTCCCTCACTGACCAAGAGAAACTGTGAGTTCTTGCAGGGCAGCACAGAGAGGAACTCCATCTGCAAAGGACAGA